ACCCCTCTGGCACTGGTCCTAGAAAGCATCCTGACAAACATGCTACTAGGTGACTTGTTTTGTGATTCAGCTATAGACCGAACTTCAGCTACATAAGCATATTTATTTGGCTGCCTTTTCTTAAATACATAAACATGGTTAGTGCTCATCTTTTCTTGTGCAATCAGGACCTTTTCACTCCCATTAATTATGAAGTATCCTCCTTGATCAAATGGACACTCTCCAAGCTCATTTAAATCTTTCTCCGGTTTCTGAAACAAGCTACAATAACTTGACCGTAGCATGATTGGAACCTGAGATGTAGATAAACCCATTAAACACATGGTCAATGTATAATCCTCTATTTATCAAGCATTTTATACCTTCCCAATAAAAACTTTGGTAAACTCCTGAGCCTCAGTAACTTCTTCACAGTCATGCCCTTTTCTTATGACTCTTTTAGTAACATCCACATATAGTGGTGAAGAGTATGTCAAGTTCCTCAGTCTTGCAGCCTTAGGAAATAAGGTAGCAGTCTCACCATCTGATTCTGTCATCATCGGCTTACTCAGGTATATTTGGCCAAAGCTTATCCTATAAACAGTCTGCCAAAAGCACAAAAGTTTGTGATCAATCATAGGATCAAGGACCATATTGTTTGCATTGTATAACTTTGACATTTGATTTCTATAATCATGATCTAGTGACAATTACTACCCCTTGGAACTCACTGTAGATGCACACATATGCATGAACAACAGAAAGGGGAGAGATCGAGGCAAGCATTCTAAATAATGAAACTGCTGCGAAAAGCATCTGCTACAAGCAATGCTCATAGCGTTTCTTCTACAAATATTACTGTAAGCTTTGATGTTCCTGTTATCGACACAAGAAAGGGGAAAATTTTTGTTTCTACGACATCCTATAGTTTGGCTAATCATATCCTTAAAAGGGAAATGGAAATTAAATTTCAAATCAAAGATGGAAAACCACAAATTATAATACCATCCATTACAACAGCTTTCATACATTATCATCCTTAATTATTTCAAAAAAAATGGTATAGTTCATAGATGTGACCGGAAGAAAGGATTTAGATTTTTCTGTATTCAAAGATGCAATATAACATGAGATTAAACTAGTTACTATGATCATTTTTCCATCAACAAAATACAATTACATATTCCAAGTAAACCTATTTTTTATATTTTGAGTGTAGCTCTAGATAGTCAAAAAAACACCAAATATCTACATTTAAGTCTTCTAATCGCTCAAAACAACGTAGATGCCAACATAACAGACGCTAGACACTAACACAATAATTATGCAAGCATGTACTTTTCCCCGGCCAATCCTACAAAACTTATAGATTTTTCTTCTTTTTTTTTATTTTTAGTTTCATACTCTACCAAACAAAATTCCAATGGAGAAATCATGTCCTCCAACTGTCTCATGTTGCCTATAACAAATGTCAACCCATCACACCATTATTAATGTTCCAACCTAAGCCATCTCAGTATACTTACTTTTCAATGATAAATGCTTGCTTGCTCCCACTATAAAATCATACAAAACGTCAACCAAAAAAAACTAAACACTTAAATGAGAGTGATATTACAAATTGTAGAAAAAGAAAGAAAGGGAAAAAATACACCTCAACAAAATCAGATTGTCTGCCGGGGTTATGCTGACTCTCAGGTCGGATTTCGATATCAGCAGATTCATCAACAATTTCTTGCATGGTGTTTTGTATGAACTCGTCGAATGAATCCAGCTGTTGTCTAACCAAACCCTTGTCTTCAAAATATGCACTGATCACTGCCCATGCATCTTCTTGAGTTATCTCATCTGAGTCATCAATATCATATTCTTCTTTTCCATCATTACTATTCACATTTTGATCAATAAATTCATCGTTTCCACCAAACATCTTTTCTTTCAACAAGAAAAATTAGTCAACATGCAGATGTTTTTATGAGTGTTTTCTTTTTCTTTTGTGTTTTTTAGATTGTGTTTTCCATTGGTGAAATAATCTTATTAGTGTCATTCTCAATGATTTATGTTCAAAGTTATTACGGATTTGATTGTTCCCAAGGAATAGGGTTCAGTTTTGAACCCGAGATGGAATGAGTTACAGTTAGCAAAAGAGAGAGGAAGCCTTTAGATCCGGGAAACACTATTTATGGAAAAGGAAAAAGTTCAGGAATTGCTAGATTTATTAAAGGCCTATTTTTTGTTTTTTTTTCAACTTTTCCCCTCTTATTCTTTATTTTTTTATTTTCTGAGAAGGAGTTTTGATTTAATTGAATAAAAAATTAATATGAATGAAGTTATTTGATGCTCTAAAAAATTTTTGTCAAATTTGATTTGCCAACTAACTAAAGTTAACTTTTAAAGTTGACTTGGAACCAACTCTTTTATTTGATCTTAAAAATTATGTTTGAATTAAAGAACGACCTCAATTTGGACTAATTCAATAAAAGCTGACATGATTTCGACTCAAAAAACAATTTAAAGTTTAGAAGTAATATTAAGTTTGTTAACAGGAAAAAAAAGAAGAAAAAGAGAGGGATAATAATAAGGAAAAAATCGGTCGAAATAGAAAGGAAAGAAGGATTAATGGCCAAAAGAGCGGTAAAGCATTTTTCTAATAGAACAAACAAATATCATCAACAAGGTTGCTGAAAATTCTGTAGCACGATTTGCTTCATATATAGAAATTCTAGCCTTTTTTGAGACATAGCATTAATATGAAATAATAAATCATACAAAAAGTTTAAGCGACACAAAAGCAATTACTGATAAAATCTCAAAACGGTAATTGACATAGTATTAGTGGTACATAAGAGTCAATTGCACGATTAAAAATGGCACAATGATAACAGAAATTGAGGTTTTAGAATTTAGCTTAAGCATTAAAAAGTGAACAATTAATGCGAATTTAAATAAACAATTAATGCAAATTTAAAGGTTAAGGAATACAGAGATAATGGCCCAAGCATTAATGCATTATGAACAAAATTTGTAATTGTGTTCAGTTTTGTGAAAGTGGCCTTCTTCATTAGCAACTGGAGAAATTCAGTTAATTATCCAACAATTAAAATTATGACAAATTCTTAAGTATCAAAGAAATAGTCTTCTGCATGCCCAAAACTAATGCAATTTGTGGAATGAGTGATCAAAGCAGTAAATCTGATGTTCTCTAACAGAGATATTGCTTACATGCATGGTCAATTCAATTGATTTTAAGCCATGCCAAATTAGGCACTATTTACAAAACTCTAAAACTGTAAATTGTGGAAGTAATTTCATTTCAAAGAAACATAAGAAACCACAAATTGCTAAAATTGTATCTCTCCCAATTAAACGACAACCAAAACCAATAGCAAAATTCAATGTTGTGCTCTATAAGATCATAACCTAACCAAAAGTTTTCAAATTTTCACCTCCATTATAACTGCAAGCAAATCAACTTACTCGCATATAATTAGGTCAAAAAGTTCTTCAACTCTTGCCAAAATTGTTAAAAGAGTATCCTATGCTCCGAAAGTTATCAGGCTTAATCGAGTTTTAAATATATACATATCTTTTATTATTTATAATAATTATTGATGAAAAACCTTTTTTTTAAAAAAATTTCTAAATGTCATTACTTTGTATTAGTCGAGCTCAATTAAAGTGAAATCTAAGCTCGATAGTGCTCAAACTAAGATCACCCACTCTTTCACTAACCATTTCCACTAGAACAACCAGAGAGATTAAATAAAGGAAGAAGAGAAGAAAAGAAAGGGAAAAATAAAATTGTAACCAAAAGGCCATTGCTACATCTGTTTTTGAAACCTAAAAGCTACTCTCCAAGATTTAGTTCCAAACAAATTGACACTTTAATTTTATAAAAGGTTCATAGTTTAGAGGCATGATTATTTTTTTTAATCAAAGTTATCACTTAATTAATAGAACTGTCAATGAGGCTGGGCCAGCCCGAGCTCTGCTCGTTCGGCCCAACAAAAAGCCCGATGAGCCCGACATTTTAGTGAGCCGGTCTGAACTTGAGCCTAAAAATTAAACCCGAATTAAATATGAGCCGAGCGTGGGCCCTATTAGGCTCAAACCCGATATAGATCCGGCCTTTAATTATATATATAATATTTATATTTTGATATTATGTATAATTATATACCCAAATATATTATTATTAAATACTAAATATATATATTACAAAATATAAAAATACATCTAAAGACTCTTCCATGAGATTTCTTGAGAGCCAATATTAGTTATGCATAACTGAATCTGTAACTTTTCTTATTGGTTGAATAAATTTTTGTATTGGCATAATGTTGGTTGATTTCTTTTTGATCTACAAACACAAATCATCAAGTATGTTTGGATTCAAATCACAAGATTATAAAAAAAAAGTTTAACTTTTAAAGATGTATTGGCTTATGATCGCATGTTTTATTATTATTTTTCATGTATTTTGAACGAATTAAATATAAATATTATTGAAAAAGTTTTGGTTTATATACTTTTTAAGAACTATTATTTGTTCATGTTTAGTTTTAATATTATAGTCTTGTAAATGTTAAATTAGTTTCACAACTTAATAGTTATAGTAATTATATTAAGAAAATTAAGGAGTAATAAGTGAGTTTGGGCTAAACCCGATTAAGGCTCACAACTCGAACATTATGTGAGTTGAGTATGACCTTCACATTTATAAACCCGAAACTCATAGCCCGAAACCAAAAAATGTTCCAAATTAAATGAGTTGAGTTTGAACTTATGAAAGCCCGGCTCATTAGCCCCGATTGACAGGCCTGTTATTTAACCCTTAAAAATTCAATCCTCCCCTCATCCTCAGTCAGCAAATTATCATGTACAATCATCAAAAGTCGGTGGCTTCCCATTCTTTTCCTTATCCTTTCACCCACGATTCTCACTTTAAAAACGTTTTCACGCACTAAACGCCTCCATCCACACGCACATTCACACACACAAAGAAAAGGAGAAAGACCAAACGGTCCCAAACTTTTAATATTTTTCTTCGACTACTCTGCTACTTTGCGAACAAGCTAAGCAACCCCCATCCAAAGCTTATCTATTTATATCGAAAAATACCCGACAACTCGAGAAATCGATTTAATTTGTGATTGCTGAAATTCGACTATGGCATCTGGATCGGCGGGTCGGCCTAGCAACTCGGGCTCCAAGGCGTACAATTTTGCGTCGGATGATATCTTGTGCGGCCCGTATGAAGATTATGGCAATCAGGATGGTTCGAATGGGACTAGCCACTCCGACCCGGCTATCGGAGCTACTTCGGCTAAGGTTGATTCTGATTTTGTTTTGGGTTTGGATTTAGTTTTGGTTTTAGGGTTTTGGACTGGGTGTTAAGTCTTTGTGTGAGTTTTGGGGTTTTTTGGTATTTTATGATGGATTCTGTTGTTAGGGTTTGGGGATTTTTGTGTTTTGATTGATAATCGATGGTTTAATTGGCGGAAAATGGAATTTTTTTTTCTTCTTTGTTTTGGAATCAAGACCTAGACTTTTTGGTTTATCAGTTCGATGGTCGTTGTGATTGAGCATTTCACGGATAAATGGATGAGAATTGATAATTTGACGTCTGAAACCCGGCTGCTATGAAATTCATAGCTTTCTAGTTATTTGCTTAAAGAGATGAGTGTAAACTATGTCAACAAAATATTCGTTTTGCTAAATGGTAGAACTTTGGTCCATTGGACAAGCTCTAGTAAAGTTTCTATTAAGTTCATCAACTTAGAATTTAGCAATCCCTCTTTGGTCCTGCTGCAATTCTCGGTTAAATGGTTGGAATTGCTGGAAATTTAAGATAGCGTGCATTTGATGTTAGTAAAAGTATTGACTGATGGAGCTAATACTTAAAATAAATTAGAATTGTTTGTTCAGTATTTTTGCTCTTGGTTGTTGCAGAATATGGAGTCGCACAATATTCATAATTTTGTTTTTATTCGTTTATTTGTGTTATGAGATGCAAAAAAAAAGTCCTCTCATGTTTTAACACTGTAGTCTTTGTTTTGAGGATTGTTAGTCTTTAGTGTTAGCTCTTAATTGGTCCTGCTTTTTGTTGCCATTGTATATCCTTCCAAGTTTTCGTTTTTTACCTGACCAGTGACCTCAGGTGAATTCAGTGGGTACCATCACATTTTTCATTGATGTAATTTCACTGAAATCTAGCAGCTTAATAATAGGGATTTTGCTTTTTGTTGAGCAGGAGTTCCACAAAAATAGAATGGCAAGATCATCAGTTTTTCCTGCTGCATCTTACAGTCCACCAGAAGAATCTTCGTTTAATCAAGATGTGATTGCGACTGTCGAGAGGACCATGAAGAAATATGCAGACAATCTCATGCGTTTTCTTGAGGGTATTAGTTCACGTCTGTCCCAGCTGGAGTTGTATTGCTATAACTTGGATAAAACCATTGCAGAGATGCGTTCTGAATTAGGTGGTGATCACACAGAAGCAGAGACAAAGCTCAAATCACTTGAGAAACATCTCCAAGAGGTGTGTTTCCTAGTTTTATTGCATATACTTAGCGTTATTGAGTGCAGTAAACAGTGCTGTGCTTAAGTTGGTTATATGCAGAATTTGTTGAGATTGCAGGAGGGAAGAAATATTTTGACTGGGTTATATATTATCTATCATAGTTTGTTTTTAGCGGAAGGGGAGATAGACAGGAGAAAGAGAAATATTTAAAAATTAGATAACGCAAATATTTGTTGGTCTCTGCTAACTTTTTTGCTACAATTCGAAGCTTAAGCTAAAGGACATTGAGAGATTTATTTTTACCTCCTCTGTCTATGCACTGTTGAGTGGACAAAAAGTGAATTCAAACAAGAGGAAATGTGGTACTAATAAGAATCAGTGAACCTTCCAATAGGTTTGTGTATGTATAGTATTCGAGACATAGTGCAAAAGTTAATGGTTAAATGGGTAATCAAATGGAATATATATATTTCTTGGGTGGGGAAGTGTTTTTTTTTTGGGAGGGGGGGGGGGGAAGAGCTATGGGTTGGGGTAGGCAGTGTAAGTGAGGGATCCCCCGCTCAAGCCCTCCAACTTGCCCTAAAAAATAAAATAAAAGGAATATGTTGGCTTTTCTTAGGAAATGCATCAATATATGCAACATGAAAAGCAGCTTTACCACAGACATCCATGTAATAGGGATAATTGATTTCCAGCCCTCTTAATGCCTGAAACTACTGACCGAGTACTTGTGGTGCTGTTATGTACCTAAACTCTTTTAGTGATTCTTAAGCACTTGTTCTAGCCTAATGTATCTGCTTTCTATTTCCTCAGGACAAGGTTAAGTTATTTCCTGCAATTGTAGAATACCAAATAACTGATCTTTGATTTAGATTTTTATTCTGCTACTTTCTTTGGATTCCTGCTTTTGGCCTGATTTCCTGGTTGTTTTAGCATCCCAAATGAAACAATGGCTTGATTTGACCCATCCTTCTGTATTCTTGGGGCAGGTACATAGGTCAGTTCAAATCCTAAGAGATAAACAGGAGCTTGCTGAAGCTCAGAAGGAACTAGCCAAGCTTCACCTTGCTCAGAAAGAATCTTCGTCAGCAAGCAATTTGCCACAGAAGGAGGAGAGAGTTAGTGCGCCAGCTTCTGATGCTAAAAAGAGTGAGAATTCATCAGATTCGCATGGCCAGCAATTAGCACTTGCACTTCCCCATCAGTTCCCACAGCCACAGCAGCAGCAGCCGCCTCCAGTGGCACCCCCACCTCCAATGCCGTCTCAAAGCGTGCCACAGGCACAGGCTTATTATTTACCACCACATCAGCTGCCAAATGTCCCTGCTGCAGCCTCCCAACCATCTCAGGGTCAATATCTCCCACCTGATTCACATTATAGAGCTCCCCAATTGCAAGATGTTTCTAGGGTGGCACCACAGCCAGCCCAGTCTCAAGTAAATCAGACACCACAGGTACAGCCTATACCTTCATACCAGCCCCAGTGGCCCCAGCAGTTGCCTCAGCAGGTTCAGCCACTGCCACAGCAATCTGTACAGCCTCAGATTAGACCTTCATCTCCTCCTGTTTACTCCTCTTATTTACCTAATCAAGCAAATCCTCCTCCTCCAGAGACATTGCCTAACAGCATGCCAATGCAAGTACCGTTTTCTGGAATTTCACAACCAGGTCCTGTCCGTGCAGAAACAGTTCCTTATGGGTATGGTGGGGCTGCAAGGCCGGTTCAACCACAACCTCAACCCCAGCATCTCAAGGCTACTTATGCCTCTCCAGCTGATGGGTATGCAGCTAGCGGGCCACATCCAACACTTTCACCTGGTAACACGTATGTAATGTATGATGAAGCAGGAAGACCACATCATCCAGCTCAACAGCCTCACTTTCCACAGAGTCCTTATCCTCCTACTACAATGCCTCCCCAGAACTTACAGCCTAACACAGGCTCAAATCTAGTTGTTCGTCCCCCACAGTTTGTTCGCAACCATCCTTACGGTGATTTGATTGAGAAAGTGGTGAGCATGGGTTACAGGGGGGATCATGTTGTGAGTGCCATACAAAGGCTAGAGGAGAGCGGCCAGCCTGTTGATTTTAATGCCGTGCTGGACAGATTGAATGGACACTCTGCTGGGGGTCCTCAGAGGGGATGGTCTGGGTAAGCACGTAACCCAACCCCTCCAGTTGCAGCTATGCTGACAACTGAGTAGCTTCCATCTTGCTTTTAATAAAGGATCATGTCATTCCGACAATGCTACAAGTATGTATAGGGATCGAAGAGGTGCGTTGTATTTGTTTGTCATCTCTTTACTGACCTTTTTGTTTTATTTGGTGGTAATGTATCACGCTTGCAGTATTATTGCAATGGGAAACACTCGTTTGGAAACTCCCTGTTTTAGATCCCTTTTTAATGTTTTTTTTTTTTTTTGGTGCCCGCTTCGTTCCTTCTCTTTATCCTGGGTTTACGGAAACTGAAGGCCCAAAACAAGTTGTCACAGTAATGGATTCGAGGGAATGTTCCCAAATAAATTACATTATTAATAATTCTTCTCCGTCTCAATATGATTACTCCAATGTTGAATCTTGTGGCGCTGGAAACATAATTATGCTTACTGTTTCTCATGATGATTTTGTTCGGCATCCTTCTTTGTGTCGATTTCTCCTCCTGCTATGCTATCTCGAAGCTTCTTTAGCGTTTATTTCTTCTGTTCCAGAATGGGCCTCATGAGCAATTGAATGTGCAACTTCGCTGTCAATTGTCCGTACCAATTTTTCTTTAGCTTCTACGATCAAGTCATAACTTGCAAGTAGTTAATGAGGCTCGGATGCTTCTAATTAACGGTAAAATGATCGTTTGTCTTTTAAAATGGCGAATCCCTCAAAGTCTACGAAGTTAAGAAGCTGAATAGGACGTGGACTTTCTACTGCATCAGTTGTACAGTTCTTTGTCTATAAGCAGAGTTAAAGTCAAAAACGCTTGCAACTTGATATACCAATCATCAACCGAACAGGGCATTGTAGATAATACTCCTGGATGTTTTTCAGACCCCATCATCCTGATATACCGATTATCAACTAAAGAAACATGTATCAAGCTTTTTCTTAATCTTAATTAGCAAGTTAATTGAGGCTGCATTTGATGACCACTTGCCTCATCTTTATTGAACAAGTCCATCGGAAAAGCCTTCCCTTTAAGTAAAACTGAATCCCGGTGTAAATGGAAGAATGAAACGCGCATTTGATCAAAGCATATGTGTAACGTAAGAGGAATGATTTGGTCTGATCTGAAATTGTCGGATCACACGGTTTACATGACTTCTTCGTCTCTGCCCCCTTTGACTTAACAATTTTTTCAGTCATTTTGGTTTTATAAGTATGTGACGAAACTCTCTATTATGTTATCTGCAAATGTTACAATTTGAGCTTTTACAAACCTTTTTTTTTTTTTTTTTTTGAGATTTTACAAAGTATCTTCTCTTTAAATGCAAAATCAACTAATATGATATGATATGTGCCCATCTCATCTGTCGCATTCCTATCCTGGCTGGTTAAACGGCTAAATGATGCCTGTAGCATGTTGTTGGCCCAGGCATCAATTGTGGAGTCTCCCCACTAGTATGTCCTTTTCAACAATTTCTTGGATTCCATGAAAATTAACAAATGAAATTTCATAGTCATTATCCTTTGATTTTGCATCAAATTTGAAATTAACGCATTTGACAAATTGTTACTAAAATAACCGTAACGAGTAAATGTCCAAAAATGCACATGTGAGGAGGAGGTTCTTTTCAAGTTTTTCTGTGCAGGAATCTTTAATATTCCATTTGGGGGAAGTTTTAGGGATCCTAATAAGTTAACGAAGATTTTGGACCTGTTTGGCAAATAAATTTTTGGTCAAATTTCTTTTCTACAAGTTTTTTTAACAACTTTTAGTTATAGTAACTTCAAAAAATTCTTCAAAATTTTTAAACTATACATTTTAAAATATCTAATAACTTACACACTTCAAAAAAAATTTTCTACAACTTTTACAGTAAGTTGCAACAAAGTTTTAGACAAATACTCAAAAAACTTATTTATCGAACGGGCCTTTGTTGTAAATATGAAAAATCTTACAGGTCTATTCCTCTTCATGTATGTGTGCGTAACAACCAATGGCTCAACTTGGCTCTGCAGCCAACAGATCCCCTCTAATTTATTTATTTATTTTTTTTTTGCCTCAACAGATCCCCTCTAATTAACTCATATTGTTCCTTTTGAAGTGAAGCTTTCCAAAATCTGTCCTGAAAAGATGACGATTGAGTCGAAAATTTACGCTTTACCGTGTTGAATGACTAGTCAGTCACAGCCCTAGGTAGGCAACCTCCCAAAAGAAAATGTACTAAATTTGGCAACCTAACTAGTTGTGGGGGATTTAGGACTGTTCAGGCTGTTACTTTGATTGACTAATCAGTCTTAGCCATCTAGGTTGGCAACCTCCCAAGTACAATGCACTTGCTAATGCCGGCCACCTAACTACAGTATTGAGGCATTTGGAATTCTTCATAGCAATTTAATTGAACCCTGTCCAAGTATAATTAACTTTCTCTTGATGTTTGATGGAATTTATAGAGTTATCCTACAATTTGGATAAAGGTCAACATCGAGCAGACTTTAGAAGTTTAGCTCCCATTTGAATTGCTGAATTGCTATTTTTTGAAGTTTTTTTTCTAAAAAAATATATTATAGCGATTTAATTTAATGTATATGAAATTTGAAGTGCTGAATCGTTATTTTTTGAAGTTTTCGTAGAAAAAAAATTTTGTAACGATTTAATGTGTATAAAATAAAAAAATAATTAAAAAATGCATACACGGAAAATCTAAATATTCTTAGATAGAAAATTGCAATCCAAACACCAAATCTATCTAGGAAAACTCATGATATGAGACTAACAACTTTGTTGGAAGTCTCGTGTCTCGAGACTAGCAACCTTGTTGGAAGACATTCATCAATTAAAATTATTGTTTCAAATGTGCTCCTTTTGTCTAGTTAATAAGCAGTATAATCATTTTTTTTTATAAAATATCATAAATTCATTAAAATCTGCACTAATGGCAGAAATTACACATACATCAAATAACAGATCTGAAGGAAGGATACTGCAGATCTGAAAAACAATAAAAATTACATTATAAAGCTTCAAATTTAAAAAATTAGATAAAATAATTGTAACTCCACGCCATCTGTGCAAGGTTCTAATCGTCAGATCTGCTAATTAATTGCTCTAAATTTAGATATTATGGTGAGATCTGTCGAATAGATCCAAAAAAATCCAAATTTGATGGTTAAAATCTAAAAAAAAAAACTCAGATCTAATAAAAGAAAAATGAAAAAAATATCAAAACTCAAATCTAAGGAATATAATCATATTTGTAATAGAATTAACTCATATGCCCTGGGCATAATCCAAGATGAGGAACTTTCGATTTCTCTTGGACACTGATTATATAGTTCTATCAAGCATTTGCTCGTAACTGTTCAGTTTTGGCGATCTATAAAAATCACTTACCCTTTTTGGAAAAAAAAGACAACGTAGCGTAGGCGTTACTGGGTAAGGGCATAGTCCGGACAGGCAATTCAATGCAAGTCGCTGTGCATGGACGCGACATTAGGAATATGGTGAAGAAAACAGAAGGGTCTCCATCCATATCGAAGTACAATATTAACTGTTGGAAATTGACATGCAGCAGCAGAGGAAAGGCATATACAACAGGAGGCAAGAAAGTGGCCATCCACAATGGCCATAACATTCATTCCACTATTTGTAATTTGTATGAAGTTATTTGTATAAAGATTTTTTGATTGTTATTATAAAATACATTTTTTTATTTTTTTATCTCACATACATATCATGCCATAAAAAGTGCTATATTGTTATTTTAATTTTTTTAAAATAATCTTCTATCCAAGCGCATCATTGTGATCCATTTATACTTTGTTGTTGCTTGCTTTTAACTTTTGTTTTCTGGATTTTTGGGGGGGGGGGGGGGGGGGTTCTTGCTCTTTCAACGTAGTCTTCTTGATATCAATCTTAAACTTTGTCTTTGATCTTACAATCCAACGGTGGTTTATTTATTATACTGTGGCATTGGTGCTTTCAATTTTTTCCTTTTACAAAAAGTTGGCTCTTTTGTATAGTTTTTTTTCCTTTTATTCATGACTATGTTAACTTGGTGCCTGGTGGTAGTTCAGTCATTTTGATTTTCTTTTAATTGGGTTTGGATGCAATTAATGACAGGGATTTAATGGTTGTTTGGCAAAAAAACACAAAACCACAAGGGAAGGATATAAAATTAATTGGTAGTGCATTAATTTTAATGTTATTTGAAAAAACGATCTGGTTAACGAATTTTAGTATTTAAGAGATGATACCTTTAATTTTGGAAAATATCTGATAAGGAAATAATTTTCCAAATAACAAAAAAGACCATTTTAAATAAATCAACAAAGGTATAGTGAATTTTTAGCCTAGCTGTTTGTAAATCAACTTCATCTCTTCTTTTTTTTTTTTTTTTTTTTTTTTTATCTAACATGAGTTTAGAAATCTAATAATTCTTTTTCTTAAAACTAAGAACAAAAGGTATGGCTAACTTTGTGCTATTATTTTTCTTCTTCTTTTTTTTTTGTTTAAAAGATGCATAATACTGTCAAGATTCCTCAACTTACTTATTGTTATACTCTTATATATATATATATATATATATATATATATATATATATTTAACGACAAAGGGATAGGAGGTTCCCAAATTCTAAACCAAACCCAACCAAAACAAGACCATTGCAGCTTACCCAAAAGAAAAGGACCTTTATGAAGTTGGAACTTTCTATCCACCATAAATAACAAATTGAAAGGAAAAGCACAATTCAATTTTGGAGAAGACATAGACTAATAAATGTTCAAGATTTGTAAAAAAATAACTAATAAATTCAATAAAAATCGATAAAACTAGCAAATCATATATGATTTTCTAATTCACTTCATTAAACAAAATGTATACACTTTCTTTACTAGGTTTATTTTCAGGAAAAAGGTTAGGCATGCCATTCAGGTTGCGAATCCCTTAAATATAGCTTTCCAAAATATAAAATAATTAACACATTCATTAAGCATGTTACTTCTTGTCCATATTAACCAGTGCCCGTTGGGCACCAATGGACAACAGTTAGAAAATCAATAAAAAAAAATAAGAAAAGAAAAGAAAAGGAAAAGATGACGTTGATAAAGCCATTCTTATTTATTAAGCAAATAAGAAAGGGCATGGAACGGGGTGGCACCAGTACTGTGCTTTCTAATCTATATAACTTTACACTATTTAGAAGTTGACAAAGTGGTTTAAATTAGAATCGGAGTACTATTAGGTCCATTGCATCCTAAA